TTTTTTGGTGGTTAATTGGAGAGAAGAGTCTCATGGACTTTCCTCTCCCGGGAGGCTTTGAACTGTGATCCTCAGATCACAGCCTCCTAAGTAGCTAGGATTACAGGCTTGAGCCACCACCACCCGACTGAAGACAGAATCTTTAATTTTTTTTATTTTTTTAAATTTATTTATTTTGTCTATTCTAAATCACTATAGAGTCTGTGTAGTTCAGCCCTGGATAATTAAGTTACAGGAGCATTCAAATAAATGAGCAATAACTGTCCTTATTATTCTCCTAAAATTGACTGGATTGTAAAGGAAATGAGCCAGGTGCTATTGGTTCATGCCTGAAATCCTAGCTACTCAGGAGGCTGAGATCTGAAAATGGAAGTTCAAAGCCAGGAGGAAACTCGATGAGACTCATCTCCAATTAATCACCAAAAAAAGCCTTAAGTGCAATGGTGGCCCACGTGGTAGAACATGAGCAAAAAGCTCAGAGACAGCGCCCAAGTGCTAAGTTCAAGCCAAGGAAGGAAGGAAGGAAGGAAGGGAGGGAGGGAGGGAGGGAGGAAGGAAGGAAAGGGAGGAGGGAGGGAGGGAGGAAAGGGAGGGAGGGAGGGCTGGAGACAGAATCTTTAAAATGCAGTAAATGTGGGAAGAAGAAGGAGAAAAGGAAGAAGAAGAGGAGCAGGAAGAGGAGGAGAAAGAAGAAGAGGAAGGGGAGCAGGGGGAGGAGGATCACACAACAATTTCTCCTGCAAGTGAATGCTGGTGAGATGCTCGGACTGATTTTCCTGACAGCCTCACAGTGCCCAGCAAAGCCAAGGGAAGTAGAGAGAGCACAGCCAGTACCTGTGGGGCCCCTCCGACACAGCCCTCGCTCATCCTGTGTGTACAACTGATCCCTGGCCAGTCTCTGTTACTACAGAGCACCCCCTGAAAGCCTCTGGAGCACCATGCCACTGGAGTATACCCCACTGGGAGCACCAACCATCAGTACTAGCCCCCTGGGAGCACCAGCCATCAATATCACCCCTTGGGAGCACCAACCTTCATTACCACCACCCCCTGGGAGCACCAGCCACCAGTACCACCTCTCTAAGAGCACTAGCCATCAGTAATACCACCCCACTGAGAGCACCAGTCATCAGTACCACCCCCTGGGAGCATCATCATTCAGAATACCAGTAACTGGAGCACCACTACTCCACTCAAGCCCCATGGGGCTCAGAGTCCCACTCTGCCTGGAGCCCAGAGCCTTGGAGCACTGAGCCAGATTCTTGAGAATCTGATTTTATGGCAGAGCTATTTTTATGTTTTTAAAAATGTTTTAAACAGTAGTATTTTATAGGATTGCACCCTGAGGCTTGGTAGTGCAGGGTATGGTTTAAAAATTGACTAAATAAATAAAATTCTGACACACTTGAGATGGCAGAGAGGCCAGGCTGGCTGTACCTCCTGGTGGGATAGAATTTATAAAATCTGTACATCGGTTTGTTTGTGCTCCAGGGAGAATGAAGGCAGAAAAGAGTTGCTAGCAGAATAACTTTACCTCTGGCAGAACCCAGCTTGATTGTGGATGGAAATCACTGTGGACCTGGTCATCCTGCAACTCCTTTCCCAAACAGACTATGAGGTTGAGGTCTGGGTCTCTGGGCAGAAATGGATGCTTTTTTCCTTTTTTTTTTTTTCATTTGTTTTTCAAAAACAAATATGGAGGGAAATAGTCCCAAGTGAGCCATCAGTGGCTCACACCAGTAATCTCAACTATTCAAGTTGCTGAGATCTAAGGACTGCGATTTTTGAAGCCAGCCCAGACAAGATAGTAAGACTCTTATCTATAATTAACCATCAAAAAGGCAAAAGTAGAGCTGTGGCTTAAGTGGTAGAGTACCAGGGTTCAACATAAAAGCTAAGCAACAGTACCTAGGCCCAGTTCAACCTCCAGGACCAGAAAAAAAAAAAAAAAGCAGCCCTCGCTGGGCACTAGTCATTCATATGTGTAATTTTAATTCTAGCTACGTATGAGGCTGAGTCTGGAGAAAAGGGATCACATTTCTAGCCCAAGGAAGTTCTCTGAGACCTCTTCTCAACCCATAAGAAGACATGGTGGTGCATGCCTGTCATCCTGGTTGTGCATGAATACTCAAATAGGCAGATCACTGCCCCAGTACATGCCCAGACAGGAAGCAAGACCCTATCTCAACAACAAAAAAAAAAAAGCACATACACACAAAAAGCACAAATCAAGTCTGGAAGAATGGTTCAGCAGTGGATTGGCTGCCTAGCAAATGTGTAGCCCTGAGTTCAACCTCCAGTAAAACCAATAATAATAAATATAAAAATAAAATGAAATAATAGTAATAGTAATAATGAAGGCATAATACAAAAAGTGAAGTGGCTTGGAAACACACATTTTGGTGACCTTGAGAATTTTCTCAGATGGCTTTGACCGCTCACTGTAGTGAGAAGCACTTTGGTGTCTCTGAAACATAATCTTGATGTGTGAAAGGGGTTAGACAGCAGCCCAGGTCCTCCAGCACCCTGGCACTGTGTCCTGGATGGCAGGCTTGAGCAGCTGGACCCAGGATGAGAGGCACAGCCACAACTGCGGCTTTTCTCAGTGCTCTATACCCAGATCGGGGTGGAACATGGCGTCTGCTCACTGACCCAGAAGTAACTGACAAGGATCTGTCCTCTAAGCAGTCCTGTCATTGAAAATTGAGTTAGTGTCATATATATATATTCCTCAAACTTATTTAACCAAACTATCCTTTCTTCCTTCAGGGAAACTGCAATATTTATATCATCTTCCATATTTGCACTTTCCCCCAAAATATTAAAAAATCTCCATTTTGTAATTATACAATAATTATCCTACACCACAGTTTGGGCTACCTCAAATCAACCATGGCTTTAAAATATTAAATTCCAGGGGCTGGGAAGGTGGCTCAGTGGTAGAGCGCTTGCCTTGCATGCCTGAGGCCCTGGGTTCGATTCCTCAGCACCACATAAGCAAAAAGAAAAAAGCCAGAAGTGGCGCTGTGGCTCAAATGGTAGAGCACTAGCCTTGAGCTGAAGAGCTCAGGCACAGCGCCCAGGCCCAGAGTTCAGGCCCCACAACTGGACTCAAAAAAAAAAAATAAATTCCAGACAAAAACAATTTATAAGTTCAGTACTGTGGCTTGAACTCCATACCTGGCACTCTTAGCTTTTATTATTTAGTTAGTTCGTTTTGGGAGGTTTTTTTTTTGGTGGGGGGAAGGTTTGTCGGTCATAGTGCTTGAACTCTGGGCTCAGGTGCTGTCCCTGAGTTCTTCAGCTCAAGGCGAGCACTCTACCACTTGAAAACCACTTCTGGTTTTCTGGTGGTTTATTGGAGATAGGAGTCTCAAGGACTTTATTGCCTGGGCTGGCTTTGAACCCTGATCCTCAGATCTCAGCCTCCTAAGTAGCTAGGATTACAGGCGTGAGCCACAAGAGTCCAACTTTCTTAGTTAGCTTTTATATTCACAGCTGGTGCTCTGCCACTTGAATCAGACCTTCAGTCCAGTTTTTTGCTGGTTATGTGAAAATGGAGTCTCATAGACTTTTTTCTACCCACTTGACTTAGAAATGTAATCCTCCAGGTCTCAACCTCCTAAGTAACTAAGATTACTGGTTGAGCCACCAGCACTGGCCAATGTGTAAGTCTTAAGTTGTGTGCCATCATGAGTACTGATGAATGAACATGGATCCACTGTTCCACCCAGGATGGGACTCATGCCTTTGTTCAGCATGTCTACTCTGTACCCACTAGCCACCAGCTGGTCACTCAATTATATCATCTCCGTTACATCATCCATTATAGTAAGCAGGCTTGTATGCTGGTCAGCTCATTTCACTTCAGGATAGCCCTGAAGTTCAACAGCTCCAGGCCATAAGCGAACAAGCTCATGCAGATGGGGTGCTAGTTTATATAACATTGGGGACCTAGCTGTAGGGTGCCACCCGGATTGCAGGTATCCTCCGTGGTCCTGAGCCCTGTACCCTATAGATAAACATGCTCCTGTGGCAAATTCACCAGCAACACTTGCACATCATGCACTTTGTGACGTATTTTCTGGGGAGACTTGTCTCTCTGGTCATCATTCTTAGGATGGAGAGGGGGGCTCTGAGGGCAACAAATGGATCTCCCATTATCTGTGCTTGCAGGCCCATGGGTGATTTGCTCCAGTTATTTGATTCTGACCATCCACAGGTCAGCCAATCCAATGAAGTCGCCCAGCCCTCATGGAGGAAGCCACCTTTTAACTAGATCAGGCATATTCCTCTATCTTTTCTACACTCTTCTTTCCTTCCTGCCTGAATCAGGAGGCTCACATTTGCCTACAAAGCAACATAGGACTTTGTACAGCTCTGAAACCCCATCCTGAAGCCAGGCAGGTGATACCCCTCCCCACGGTGCCCACCAGCTGCTGGGCTGCTCCAACCTGCTGGCTCATGAGGTCCGCGCAGCCTCTTGTGTCATGGGCTTGGATTTTTTTTTCCTTTGTTAGTACCACTTATCAAGCTTAGATTCTAATTACACTTATCTGGGTTGAAAATTGGCCATGATCACCACTTAAACTCCTCGTAATTGTAAAAAAATACTTCCATCACCAACCACAGGGACTGTTTCTCTTGTTATAAAAACAGATGGGAGCCGTGTGCTGGTGGCTCACACCTGCCATCCTAACTGCTCAGGCGACTGAGATCTAAGGATCATGGTTCAAAGCCATCCTAGGCAGGGAAGTCCATGAGACCTTTATCTCCAATAAACCACCAAAAGAGCTGGAAGTGGAGCTGTGGCTCAAGTGATAGAGCACTAACCTTGAGCAAAAGAGCTCAGGGACAGCACCTAGGCCCCAAGTTCAAGCCCCAGGACACACACACACACACACACACACACACACACACACACAAACAGATCAGATACTCACCTGCTTCCTGTCACTCAGCCCCCCGCCCTCTGCTTTCCTTCCCTTTGGCTGTTCCAGGGGTGAGCAAGGTGGTCACTGTGGATGTAAAGGGGAACTGGCAGCGCTGGCTGAAGGTACGAGACCTCACCAAGGGAGTGACCTATTTCTTCCGTGTCCAAGCTCGAACCATCACCTATGGGCCAGAACTCCAAGCCAATGTCACAGCTGGGCCGGCCAAGGGTAAGGATGTGGGACTCCACGCAGGAGACGGGGTGTCCCTGGCTTCACACTTCCTTGAGTTCAGGACTTGCCTGCACTCTCCGCTGAGTGCTGGCTGGGGATGCTCAGGCATGTGAATGTCCCTGGGTTTCAAGTTCATAGTTGTTAGGCATATAAAATTTGGTTTGTCTTCTGAGAAAAAAATCTTGGTGATGGGAAGTCAGTGGGGATTGGAGGTATGCCTCAGATCACAGAGTACTAGCCAATGAGAATAATAATAATAATGAATAATAATAATAAGTGAATTTAATTTTTGAAGTAAAGACACAAGAAAATCCTCAAGTGTTTATACATGTCAATAGAAGGCCTCACCTAGCCACTGATCACATGTAGACAACGGAGTGGTGTTTAGAAGGGGCGCCAGACCTTCTGCCCTCATTGTTTCTTTCCCTTCTTTGGTCCCTGTGGATGCCAAGTATGGTATTACACTCCTATGATCCTGGCTACTGAGGAGGTAGAGGTAGGAAGATCATGGTTTCAAGACCAGACTAGACAAAAGTGCAATACCCTACCTGAAAAATGAACTAAAACAGAAAGATATGGAAGTGTGGCTCAAGTGGTAAAACACCTGCCTAGCAAGCACAAGCCCCTGAGTTCAAAACCCAGTATCAGCCAGGCACCAGTGGCTCACACCTGTAATCCTAACTACTCAGGAGGTTGAGATCTGAGGATAGTAGTTCAAAGCCATCCTAGGCAGGAACATCTGTGAGACTCTTATCTCCAATTAACTACCTGGACACTGGAAGTGGTGCTGTGGCTCAAGTGGTAGAGTATTCACCTTGAGCTGAAGAGTTCAGGGACAGCACCCAGGCTCAGAGTTCAAGCCCTACCCCCCCCCCACACACACACACCAGTACTGTCAAAAAGGAAGGGAAAAAAATGAAACCTGTTGGAGCATGAGGGTCAGTTCCCTCAAGGCCAATGTCCACCCTCTCTTCTCCTTTTACCTCACAGGGTCCCCAGGGTCACCTAGAGATATCATGATTACCAAGTCTTCCTCTGAGCTGACGCTGCAGTGGACAGAGGGGAACGCCGGCGACACGCCCACCACAGGCTACGTCATTGAGGCTAGACCCTCAGGTAAGGACAGTTGGGCCTAGCAGCTGCTCTTGCCCCTGTGCACCTGCCCAGCCACCAGACCAGCATGACCCAAGCAATGGGATCTTAGCCAAGCTGAAGTCAATGGTCCAGGAGTTTCAGGGTCACGGCCCCTTGGCCCCATATTTCTCTACAGGGGTGAGGGATGACCTGTGTCCAAGGAGATGCTTATGCCCCCCTCCCCTCTTCAGTCTCCACAAGCATAGCTGTACTGTTAATGCCTAGGCTTATGCTCCTGATGGTTGAGCCATGATGGTATTTGTTCTTCTCAGGAACAGGTAGGTGAGGATCAGGGCACTTACTGACATTCAGCCCCTTGGAAAGTTCCAGGAGTGTGTTCAGGGGCTGGGCTCGGGGTCCAATGCCAGCAGCCTGTGGTGGAAGCAGTAGAACCCATGGACAAATGGGCTCCTGCACCTTTTAGGCTTTGGAAACCAGGTGTCAGATCCCGTCTAGCCACGTGGAGAATCATCTATACCCCTCCTTCCAGCTTTCCTGTCCCATCCGCTCTCTTTACTCACACGTAGTAATTATTCATAGTGGGATGAATGGGAATGGGATTAAGCATGGTATTTTTATACATGTATATAGTGTGCATTGACCAAATGCAAGCACATCTCTGGCTCCCTCTCCTCCTCCTCCTCTAACCTTCTCCCCTTTCTTCCCATCCTCCCTAACCCTCCCTTCCTCCTCCTCCCCTTTCCCCTCCCCAGTCCCTAGGAATCACAGCTCTACCTTCAGGTGGACTTAAGTTTCCATATCTGAAAGAAGATACTCAGTACTTGTTTTTCTGTGTCTGGCTTTTTTTCACTTCATGTGTTCTTCATCTCTATCCATTCTGCTGTGAATGACAGAATTTCGTTTTTCTTTATGGTTGGATCATGGTTCATGGTACATGGAGAGCACAGTTTGTCTTGGTCCAGGTTTGGTGGCAGTAGGAGGTGGCTGAAGCTTAAAGAGGTGGAGTCTAGGAGGTGCTATGTTGGTCAAGGGGAGGATGCTGATTTGCAGAGGGACTAGCACTGGGCTCCTGTGGTAGATGTTAGAAAAGAGTTAGATCACCCCCACACTGGTTGGTGTCCTGTCCTGCCAAGCATCCTTCTCTCCCAGATACAAATTGCCATGTGTGACACAGCCAGGGACCTCACCAGACTAGAACTCATTCCTAGAACCATTCTCTGAAAGCTCCAGAACTGTGAGCTAAAGAAACCTAGACGCTTAAGAAAGAACTCAGCCTCAGATATTTTGCTACAGCATCAGAATATGGACTAATAAGCAGAGTTGGTGGATGAAATTCAGAAGATCAAGAAACTCAAATGGGAAAGAATGCAGATGTTTCGTCTGGACACCCTGGAAGCCAGAAGGCCAAGGGCAAGACGTTGGCAGGGTTGGTTCCCACGGAAGGATGAGAGGGAGAATCTGCTTCTTGCTTTTCTCCAACTTGTGGTGGTTATTGGCATTTCTTGGTATTTCTTTGCTCATATATGCATCACTCCTCTCTCTGCTTGGTTTGTTTGTTTTAACTTAGGGCCCCACACTTACTAGGCAAGCTCTCTACCACTTGAGCCACGTCCCCAGCCTCTTTGTACCTTGGTTATTTTCATTTTTGTTTGTTTTGTCTTTTTCTGTGTGTGCCAGTGCTGGGGCTTGAACACAGGTTCTTGTGCTATTGCTTAGCTTTTTTTTTTTCTTCAAGGCTAGCATTCTACCACTTGAGCCACATTTCCACTTCTGAATTTTTACTGGTTAATTGAAGATGAGAGTTGCTCAGATTTTCTGCCTGGGCTGGCTTTCAACTGTGATCCTTAGATCTCAGCCTCCTAACTACCTAGGACTACAGGCGTGAGCTACTCACACTGGATTACCTAGTTGTTTTCAATGTAGGAACTTTGTCAGCCAGCCAGAGCTGCAGTCTTCCAACTTGTGCTTCCCTGGTAACTGGGATGACAGGTGTGTGCCACCTCATCCAGCCACTAGTTGAGACAGACTCGGAAACTTCTATGCCAGGCTGGCCTTGAAACTCAACCCCCCCAATTTTTGCCTCCCAAGTAGCAAGGATTACAGCCTTAAGCTACCATGCCTGGCTACCTGTCTATTATTATTTCACATGGCCTTCTCTTTGTGTGTGTATCTCCGGCCATAAGTCCCTTTAACAGCCCTATCCCCAACTAGGTCATTGGGAGGCAGAGGTGGTCAGGACTTCCACACAGGAAATTGCAGCTTGGGGCAGCTGTAACTCTACCGATCATGGAGGATGAGAAACTTCCTGGGACGTCATCAGTAGACAACATCCTACTGATAATTCATCCTTCAGATAATTCTCAATGTCATGTCTACTCACCACAGCTTTGAAATAATGGTTACTTATTAAACCTTCCAGAACTTTTTTTTTTTTTTTGGTCAGTTGTGGGCCTTGAACTCTGGGCCTGGGCGCTGTCCCTCAGCTCTTCAGCAAAAAGTGAGCACTCTATCACTTGAGTGATAGCGCCACTTCTGGTTTTCTGGTGGTTTATTGGAGATGAAAGTTTCATAGACTTTTCTGCCCTGGCTGGTTTTGAACCATGATTCTCAGATCTCAGCCTCTTGAGTAGCTAGGATTATAGGCATGAGCCATGGACACCCTGCTTTCTAGACCTTCTTATCTGGTGAGTTCATGAAGAAGTATAGACTTCTTATTTGCTCCAAGGACAACAGTGGTCCTAGGCTGCCTGTGTCAGCTGTCTTCCACAAACCTGTGTGGAGCTCAGAGGAAATCACACGGTGCATACCTCTAGCTTTACCAGGACACCGAGGTCACCAGATGTTTCCACGCACCCTGGATTATAGAAGCATCTCAATGGAGTAGGTTTCCTTCTCAGTTTTACTTTATGCATCAAAAACCCTTCTGAGCTGGAAGCTAGTGGCTCACCCTTGTAATCCTAGCTAGTTTAAGAGGCTGAGATCTGAGGATCATCACTGGAAGCCAGCCTAAGTAGAGAAGTCCTTGAGAGGGCTGGGAAGGTGGCTCAGTGGTAGAGCGCTTGCCTAGCATGCCTGAGACCCTGGGTTCGATTCCTCGGCACCACATAAGCAAAAAGAAATAAGCCGAAGTGGTGCTGTGGCTCAAGTGGTAGAGTGCTAGCCTTGAGCTGAAGAGCTGAAGGACAGGGCCCAGGTCCAGAGTTCAGGCCCCACGACCAGACCCAAAAAAAAAAAAAAGCTGAAATAATTAGAAACAAAGGAACATAATGAGAAGTCCTTGAGACTTTTATCTCCAATTAACCAGCTCAAGAGTGCCAGCCTTGAATGAAAATGCTAAAGGACAGCACTCAGGCTCTAAGTTCAAACCATTGTACTGGTGCATACACACAAGCACTCACATGCATGTACACACACACACACACACAAGTAAACCCTTCTGAGAAGGTGTCCTTGAGAATCAGCTAATTGCCAGAGGAGTCCCTGGTGCCAAGGCCAGGTTAAGCAGCTTGTGCTGGGCAGTCTGTCAAACGTGCCAAATGGCTTCTTTCTACCCAACTGCTATCTCCAAGATGACACCTGAAAACTCTCCAGAGCTATGCCTGTGAAGCTCCAGAGGGAGTGCCCTGTGCCTCACCGGAGTCCCCTTCCTGCTAGTGATGTTGTCGTGGACAGTTACCCTTGGGGGAATGGTGAGAGCCTGGGGATCTTTCATACCCCTTCTTACAATGATTGGGACTGTAAAGTGATTCCAAAGAGAAGTTCTAGAATCAAGAACCGTGAGTGGACTCACCCTATTCAGTCAAGGGCACCAACATATGATGTCACCAGTCAGACACACTGCCTGACCTCAGCACCAAAGGCCTATGGACTCAGCTCCCGGCTTCCCAAGATGGGTAAGGTCTCCATTCCTAGGCCTGTAAGAAGGGCATCACCAGGACAGCCTGGAGGAGAAGGCTAATTGGCATGCTCTTGGGGCCTCTCCCTGGCCTCCTGCTCTCAGTGGGGTGGCCCAGCATGTGGAAATTGACCCCTAAGGGGCCCAGGCATGACAAGGTGCTAACCCCAAAGATGTCCATCTTCCTCAGTGGCATTGCTGGTTTTATGTCCAGTATGTCACTGGACATGAGAAGGCAACTGACAGCGCTTTCTCTTCTTCCCTCATGAGCTGAACACCAGCAGTCTGCCGGCCCCAAGGCTTTCCATACCAAGTCGAGGAAGATACCCCCCACCCTTGTGGCTTGGGTCAGCAGCAGCACACAGTGGAATGCATGGGCTTTTTATGGATTGTCAATATTTAAACACCTTGCTGGGCCCTGGGGGCTCTGGATCTCAGCTGTCATCTATTTCAGGCCTCATTACACAGAACATTAAATGCTGTAACTTCTCATTTTCTCCACTGAAGCTCTCTGGCAAGACAATTCACAGGCGGGGGAGTGGCTTATGGAGGGTGTTAGGAGCCCAGGTTGTCAGGAAGAATAATACCCACGGGGTACTGTGCCAAGTCCCCTGTGGGTGCTCAGGGTGTGGTGCTCAGACACAGAGTCACATGGAGTTGAGACGCCATGATCCACATGTTCTGCTTGACCTAGCATCACCCCTTCCAGACAAACCTTCACCTGGCCTTCCAGAGACGGTGCACACACCAGTGCTGTCCAGCTACAAGACATAGCCCTTGAGCTGGAGCTCAGGCATCCAGGGTGACCTCTCCCTCTTTGGTGCCTGTCATCATTTTAACCCCTGTAGAATCTGTTGAAGAGCCCCCCCTGGCTGCCATATCAGGGGGCCATAAACCTAAGCAGTAGCTAATGAAACAAGGATCCAGTCAAGACACAGAGCTGTCTTGTTCCTGGAGACAGAGGTCACTGGATGAGGCCAAACATATGGCCATTGATTTCTACCAGGATGGCCAGCCTGTGCTCTCCTTTCTCTGGCTATCTGCAAGTCCTTCCACAGCCCTGTCGCCAAAGCTCTCCCAAAGGCAATTGCGGCTATGCAGTGGGTAGATGAGGGTGATTTATTTA